TACATTGCTTGAAGTTGCTTCTCTCTCACTGCAAATCACCCTCCATAGACGTGAATGCACAGTCACACAATACAGTCTAAGAGCACGTGAAGAGAGGAGTTGAAGTCTTTTGAGAGAAGAGTCATAGAATGGTGGTCACACATAGTTGCACACGAAGAGATGAAAGGTTTAAGTCACAACTCACTTCTTACATCGAAAATCATCTCACCAGAAATCATCTTGCTTGAAATCGTCTCATACAGGAGGGGCATTTCAATTAGTTAGTTAGATTGTTTTATGAATATTTTATTTAGAATGGTCCTTCAAATGAAATTGGTCTATGGGCATAATTTCTATTTTAACTAGGTCCTTTTTACCAATTCTCCTTATAAGAAATCCTAAAATTATCAAGAAAATTAAGGAATTTATCATGAAAAATTGGACAATCACATTTTTAGAGAAGCGGATAAATATGTTGATTGACTTTAAATCAAACTTTAAATGATAATTTACATGTTAGGATTTTTTATATTCCATCCAATGGGTATATGAATTTTTTATAACCTAATATCATTTTGTACATGTTTTTTCATGTCCTTGTAATAAAAAAAAATGTTAAGGGGCAAAAGTGCCATGCAATTTTTTCTCTAGGGTGCTTGGCATTTGAATTTTTTTGAAGTATTTTTACCCCAAATTGTTTAAAAAAGAGCATTTTGTCACACTATTTAATATTGAAAATGTTAACTGTTAAACTAAAGTTTGATCAAAAATATTTTTATATTTTGCCCTCTTTCCTTCCATGTTCATTTTTCAATTTTATTCTCTAGTAAATTTTTTAACTTTTCTTCCTCTAATAAATGAAAATGAAGATCGAAAGATGTAGAAACGAAGGAAGGCAAAATAATAAAATACCCTGGTCAAACTTTTATTTAATAGTTAATGTTCCCAATATTTAATGGTAGGGCAACAATGCTTTATTCTTGAAATTTTCAAAGTAAAAAAACTCAAAAAAAAAAAATTAAGATGCTAGATGTTCTTGAAGAAAAAATTTTAGGACATTTTTGCCCTTTAACAAAAAAAATGTATATCTCTTGCATGGATTCGTTAGTTCATTGCACATGATTTTTTTTCTTTAAATTTCTCGATGAGGTTTTAACTAAATTTTAAAATTAAAATTTGAAAAAGTTTGCTTCTTCTAAATTGAATGAACTAACTCTGAGGGTTTTTTATTTCTCTATCTTGGGACTCGCAATCTTAGATAGTTTAGTTTTCATGGAGAACTCAAGCCATTGGAAGATCCCTCCGAACCAGCCAAGGGAAGGGCAATCTCAAAATGAACACAAGAATAAAAAACGAAAAGACTCTCCAGTGGTAGAGGGGAAAGCCTTGATGCTCACTTATGATGAGAATATGAAAGATAAAGATACTCACAGTGAATGAAGAGTGTAATATCCTAAAAGTTAATTTCTTAATAATCAATTTTATTAATAATGATTAAGTAAGATTTATATGATGTGTGGTCAGAGAGGATTAATGAGTGTCTTTGATAGAGATTTCAGGTATAACTATGGGTCCAAAGTGAAATTATCCACTTGGGCATTAAAAGTCAAAAAATAAGGGAAACAAGCCTCTGTACCACATACATTGTACAAAAAGAATCTAACTTTTCACAAAGGAGGGAGTCTTAATCAGTATTCAAGCATTAGTTTCAATAGAAGCATTTGTATAGTCAATCAACGTTTTGATGCAGATAAAATAAGCTTCATATGTGGCTTGTTTTTTGTGGTTTGAGAAGTTTCCAAGAAAGATCATAAATGTAAACAATCTACTAAGATCAGTAAGGACAGTAAAGATTGCAATGGTAGAGTTTAACAAATTAAATACGTAACTTATAATACAAGTAACGTCCACCTAAAACCAAGAGACATTCAAGTTTTGGGAAAATCTCTTTGGATTATTGCCACTGTGGTGGCGCTCAATTCCAATCTCAGGAACATTCTCAATATAAAGTTGATAACGATGGTCTTAATTTTGATTGGATATAATGTTCTTATTTGTCTCAATAGATGGCCTTATAATTTTTTCTCCATTTCTTTTTTAAAAAAAAAATTTATTCCTCGCCAATTTTTCCTGTCCACTAATCAGTTTTAATTTTCTCCATACACTCACACGTTTCGGCTAATTTGGACAGAGATTACATGTCTTCCAAGTTTTCTCTTTCTCCTAGTTTCCTCTTTTTGAAAGCATGTCATTCCCTGTAGGAAAAAAAGATCAAAATTTAAATTCAAAATCTATGACAAATATTTGTTATCGTGTATTGCATATTCACCTCTTACAAATTAAATATTAGATTGAATTGTATTAGTTTGCATCGCGTGTAATATTCATTCATTTTAAATTTAAAAATTATTTAATTATATTTAAATTTATATTGAAAATAAAATTATCCCGCATATCAAGGTTTGATATTAATTGAACTCTTCTTTTACATATTTTCATGCGTGCTAAGATTAAAATCACATGTTCATATCAATATAATTTTAAAATCTAAATTTTAGCGTAGGTCTTATTATTTATAGGACATACATGGTTAGTATAATCACTCCTCCAACATTGTATGATATATAAAAAAATGTGTTTAGTTCTATAAAAATATCATTTGAAAGTAAATTAAAATTTGTACAGAGCATATTCAATGCAAGGAGGATTAGATGACACTTGAAAAAAATAAAAATAAAAAAGAATTAGATGACACTTGTCTCTTAAAAAACGGAGTTTAGGCGTCATCTAGTTCTAATCAGGCAGATTCTCGTGCATAATTCATGATTCAATGATGGTGCAAGTTCTTATAAATTATAAATATTATGTTGATGTTGATGTTCTAAAAGAATTCCAATGCTTCACCCCAGATATTTTAATTGATCGTAGAAAGATTTTTCTTGATAGTATATATTGACATGAACGCCGAATAATTTTAAAAGTAAATTGCAAAGCAACTTGGCTGAATTAGCTACTTTAAAAAACAGAAGATATGGTTTTTGCAGGGCTTTTTTTTTTCGTGGGCTAAAAATGTAAAGTAAGTTTATATACTATGTGTGCTAGAAGGCAGGGGCGAGCACAAGTTCGGTTCGATCAGTTCGTTTTAAATTCTTCAAAATTTATCGACTAAATTGCACGAAAAGTTTGGATCGAATCAAAATATTTGATCAAACTAAATTAAAATTAAATTAAATTATAATATTTTAATTTGATCAATCTGAATATTATTTATGAATTAGCATTAATTAATAAGCTCAATAAATTGATCCTTATGATCTTGTGTGAACCGTGATAGGTGGACCACACAAATGAGTTCAATGGGCAGAGGCCCAACCCACAACTCAGTAGCCGTCAGTTATTTCCTATCTCTTAACTGACTGAGTCAGAGATAATAGATAATATAATTATTTAATTATTTAATAAGGCGGTTACCGATCTGATCTATATAAGACGATTAGTCGGTAACCGCAAACACACGACTCATTTCTTCTACTTTCATTATCTCTGAACTCTCTGAAAGCTCTAGGGGGACTTGTGGGTTGTGTACTTGTTTATACTCGAGGTAATCGAGATCTCTCTAGCACTCATGGATTCTTCAGGTATGTATGAATTATTTTATTCTATCATATTATTATTATACATATGAATTGAAATATTAGATACAACACAATCTATTTGATTTATGAGTTTTGATTTAGTCTGTATAGTCTGATTGTGCATATATTTTTCTATCCATTTTTTTCCTTAATGTTGAAGGCCTAACAAAAACATGATAATCTTATACCATAATTTATGAAAAAATTAATAAAACATCGTACTATTACATTAAAAACTAAAATATAGAAATAAAATACAGAATATCACATTAAACAAAAAAATACTATTACCATAAGTGGTAAAAAGATGTTTCTTACTCATCTAGATGAGAATTTATCCACCTTTTCAAAAATATGAAAAGAAAAATATATATAATTCAATCGGTTTGATTTATTTGATTCAATAATTTTTAGACTGAATCAAATCAATCAATCAAAATTTTTATTAAAAGAAATTTGAATTGAACCATATAACTGAATATATCAAATCAAATAGATCAAATTCAATTTAATTTGATTTGATCTTTGGTTACAATTTGGATTTGCTAACCTTTACTTGAATGGTGTGTTTGGTTGGAGGGTTTTTAAGTAAATCCTTTCCTCATTTGGTTAAGAAATTTTGGAGGGAAGGAGAGTCAAAACAACCCCTCCTTTTATATTGCTCCTCTTTAAATTGAGATTTTTTGGAGCGGAGCTAATTTTTTTAACTATTTTGCCCTTAGTTATTTTGTAATGTTCTAAGTATACCCATAGCTAAAAAAAAAAAACTTTCATTCATATCAGATTATGCTTCACTCTTGAATCTCGACCTCAACTGGCTTTATTGAATTTTTTTAAAAAAATTACAATTCATCATATTTTATTATATATTTAAGGAAATTATTTATTTTTTATAAAAAATTATTATCATTATAATTATTTGTTTATTTTTTTATTCACATATTGATAATATGATAAGAGGAGAGTGAATTTTTAAGAAATCATACAATTTAAATTGAGGTGTAAAGTTATTTTTTACAAAAAATAATTAAATTTTTTTAAACAAATATATATAAATATAATAGTAAAATAATTATTATCTCCCCCGTCATAAATAATTATTGAAAACTCTTTCTCTCTCCCCTCACCCCAAAAACAAAATTTTTTTTACAAAAAATTAAAATCCTCTCCCCCGCTCCACCATTTTCCCTCCCCTCCACCGAAACACCCGAAGGCAAAGTATATACGCTCACATCACATGACAATCACACGGGGACCGAGTCGGACAAAAGGAAAATAAAACAAAATAAGGGCCAAAAACAAGAAACAAACACAAATAAAGGGCTACATCTGCAAAATAAGCACATTCCGTCAGTTTTATATTATAAACAAGTCTTCTTCCAAGTCCTTCCCACTTCTAACGTCCGAGTTGCCTTGCCCCGGCCCTCCTCCTTTATTCTAGTCGCCGTTTCCCAGCAACATGTTTTGACGGCATGGAATTATGCGGTGGCCCAATAGTTGACACCTACCCTTCATTGAACTTGCCGGTACGGTCGTATCCATTTATGTACTAATCTCCGTTTCTCGAGACTCAAATTTTTATTCAATTTTATTTTCATTTCATATTTTTAAGTTAGGATCCCAATTCGTTTTTTATTTATTGAACTGAATCGGATCACAGCCAAACTTCGCAGTCAAATATGTCCTATGTGTATTTCGCCTTTTTAAGTAAAGCTTCCTTTTTTGTTCAGTAATTGATTTTTGCTTCGTTTTCTCGCGAAGTTTGCAGATATTTCTTTCTTAATGGCTGAAAATTTGATAAGGCAAATTTCTGGGTGGTCTCGCTAGCTTGCTGGTATCGCCAGAGTTTCAAATGCTTGTTGCCGATTCATTTGAAGCGGCTCTGATTTCTTTTGATCTACGAATCAGGAGAAGTTTTGTGAAGGGTTGCTTTTAAGTATAAGCTATGGAGTAATTACAGATTTCTAACCGAAGTTTTCAAACTGATGGACAGAATACATAGAGTTTGGTTGCGTACAGATACTGGAATTTATTTTTTGAACTCAGGCAGCATATGAAGGAATTGTGACATAATATTGGTGTATGCTTCTGCAGTTGAACGTGATATGGTTATGTTGGGATACATTAAATAAATTTCTAGAGATGACGAAAGAAATAGGTTTGAATTGTTCGGTGCAGGAAGATGAAAAGAGAGAGGATAACTTCTTGAAAATGAATTCAAGGGACAGCGCATATGTGGGTGGTTCTAGACTTAAACCAAGTGTTTCACTTCTCCCTGGTCTTATTGATGATGTTGCTCTAAATTGTTTAGCATGGGTTAGTAGATCAGATTATGCTTCACTATCGTGTATAAATAAAAGGTACAATAAGCTGATTAAGAGTGGGTATTTATATGGTTTGAGGAAACAATTGGGAATTGAGGAGAAGGAGCATTGGGTTTACTTGGTTTGTGATCCTAGGGGTTGGGAGGCTTTTAACAACGCCAAAAAGAAATGGATGGCATTACCTAAGATGCCTTGTGATGAATGTTTTAACCATGCAGACAAGGAGTCATTGGCTGTGGACTGTGAACTGTTGGTTTTTGGTAGGGAGTTGCTGGATTTTTCTATTTGGAAGTATAATCTGATTTTCCAGAGTTGGGTAAAGTGTCAGGGGATGAACCAACCTCGTTGTTTGTTTGGTTCTGGTAGTCTTGGTTCAATTGCTATTGTAGCAGGCGGGAGTGATAAAAATGGAAATGTTCTGAAATCAGCTGAGTTGTATGACTCTGCTTCAGGTGTATGGGAGCTGTTACCTAATATGCATACACCACGAAGACTTTGCTCTGGCTTTTTTATGGATGGGAAATTCTATGTGGTTGGTGGCATGTCAAGTCCTGCTGTTTCATTAACTTGTGGAGAGGAGTATGATCTGGAGACAAGAAGTTGGCGGAAAATAGAGGGAATGTACCCCTATGTTAACAGAGCTGCTCAGGCGCCACCACTTGTGGCAGTTGTAGATGACCAGTTATATGCAGTTGAGCATGTAACCAACATGGTGAAGAAATATGACAAGGACAAGAATACCTGGAATGACTTGGGAAGGCTTCCAGTCCGGGCAGATTCGTCAAATGGCTGGGGCCTAGCTTTCAAGGCTTGTGATGAGCAGATTCTGGTTGTGGGTGGTCAAAGAGGTCCAGAAGGTGAAGCTGTTGTTCTCAACTCATGGTGTCCTAAGTCAGGTGCCAAAAACGGAACCTTAGATTGGCAGGTTCTTGCCGTGAAGGAGCATGTTGGAGTGTTTGTGTACAATTGTGCTGTTATGGGATGTTGATATACTTAGATTGACTCAACAGGAGCTGTTGGTATCTGACTTAACCTTGGAGGGTGCTTCCATGTGCATTCGTTTCATTTATCAAGCTGAATTGTTGCTGGGGGTTGGATTTATTTAGTGGAGAATTTGGTTTTGTATTTTTAACATGGCTTTGGATGTGTTTCTCACTTTCATAATCCATCCTTCTATTAAATTTCTTCTGAGATCACTCTGTAGGTTTACATCTACATCTCCTGTCATATTTTTCCTTTTCTCTTCGGTCATACCCATCTATGTAAACCAATAATTCATAGAGTTTTGTTGTTTAATGATGTGATGCTCATTGTTTCTTGCTTCGTTCCTGTAATCTCTCAAAATTTATGCCCAGTAGTCATGTCTCGAAAATTATTTTCTTGGCAGGACCCTACGGTTCACAATCCAAATCGGAGGAGGTGCGTGCCTTGGATTTGATGCTGCAGTTAATTGGTGCTTTAATTGCTGCAATTGTAACTCTATTAGTATATTTTGAGTACGAAATTATCATTCATATCTGGCTCAAAATTTTGCAAACATTGGTGAAAATGGGTAAATAAACTTATTTGAGGTGACTAACTTGCGGGTATTCTACAATGCTTATGGGAATGAGGCCCCCTCGGACTTATGACGTGCTTAAAAGCCCTTTCTGAGCTTCTAGCTGTACTTTACTGTCTTGTGAGTTGTGACCAATAGTCTGGCCTAGAAATTACTTCAGTTTCTTAGTAAGGAACATTAACAACGAGTCAATGACCTCTATTAGACAGGCCTGCCATTTTCTCTTTACTGCAATTGTGAGTTGTGACCACAATACTGAATAGGAAACGACATTCTCAGTATATGTTTTCCGTCTGTAACGAATCAGAATTTTCTCATATAAAGTGTCGTTGCATTTTTTCAAGTCATCTACGTGATTTGTGAATGGCATTTTCCTCTAAAGGAGATTCAATGCTGCAGAACATCCTTTTGTTCGGCAAACTAACTATGGGATTCTCACGAGACAACGAAGTGCTAGCAAAATGAATGCGTTTGCTCACCGATTCAAGTACATGATTCGTTAAGGAATTCCATTATATACAAAAGAGCAGCTTAGTCGCTTAGCCAATGAAAGCACATGATTTCCCAATCCATCTGCTCTTCGATTGACTCATTCATCTTTTCTGAGAGCCTGCGAAAGGCGATTAGCCAGGGGACAATCTAAATCGATGAAGGGCTGTGCCTGTCATATAATATACACGTTACCTGTGAGATTGTTTCCATGGCTCAACTTGCCAGAACTTTATCTCATACTTCGGTTCATTGCCCCATTCTCCTTAGCTTCCTTCTTTACCCTGGCCTGATTCATCAGAAGAAGCTAATGCTTACCAAAGATCGTGGTACCGCCCTGACATCGATGTGAAAGTTCCTTTTTTTTTTTTTTGGTTTCTTCCTCTCCAGGTATCAACAAAAGCATCCAAATAGGGGTTGAGGCCCCTTTTCCTTTGTGCATAGTGAAATGACTGGGCCGCTTGGATGCCGTACTTCTAATATTGGTCTCTTAGTTCTTTTGTTTGGGCCCGAGATCTCGGTGACAGTATGGGTACAAGAGAACTGGAAAGATCGCCGAATCATCATAATCAAACTAGTCTATGGACTTCGGACCAAGAGATATGATTGAGCCCAAACCCAAAGCCTAATTAGCCAGGACGAAGGGAAGCATATACTACAACTATGCACCCCTTTGTAGCAAAAGCTCAACAGTAATGTGACAAGTCCGCAGTCTGTCCTTTCTCATGGGGACTACATAGCTTGAAAGTGATGACTAATCTTGCGCGGACACAAAAGTCCAAGTCATGGAGTTTGATGGAATTCATTTTGGGATTTTCCTTTTACCATTTTATTTTTGATTACGAGGATGATGGATTCTCTTCAGGTTAAGAGCCCCTACCATTCATGAAGAGCTTGTGGCTTGAGTTGGCATTTTCCTGACTGAATTATCACCTCTCAAATTAAGAACCTGTCGGAGGCGAGCCACGCAATAAACTTTAGGATCCAGCAAGCGGTGGACCCACCTTTTCGTATTGCATTTAAGTAGAAAGTGACTCCCATCTTACTCATTTAGAATTTTTGGTACATGGAGAGATTTGTGGAGGACTACAATGAGAAAAGGCCAAAGGGGGATGTTGCTATTCCTCAACACTGCTGTAATAATAATGTGAGTTATCTTTTCCACCTTGCATGCTATCCTATCCCTTTTTGAATTGGATGGTTGGTATTACTGTCACTATAAGAACGATCCACTTGTTATATATCTTTCCGGAGGAAACATGATATGTTACCAGTTATTAACTGGATAGCTATGATTTACAGAATGATCCACTTGTTCCGATCCTCCTCCTATCTTCGTCATGAGGAGGGGAGATCAGGTACATCTTGTTTCTCGTAGCTGCATCATTCCATTCCATTCAATTATTATTGAGACACACCTCATTCATCAATGCAACTTGAAACTACTACTTCTAGTCTTATTTACAGGATACATAAAATTTTTTATCTTACATGTAAATCACTTTATTAAATTTTCATCATAATTTTTTTCATTTACCTTTTATTAAATATTAAAGAAAAAATATGTCATTAAAATTTGTATATTTAATGGAGACAAATTTAAGAAATTATTAAATTTTTTTTATAAAGTTAATAAATTTTAAAATTTTTCTTAATTTTAATAAAATATGTTAAAAATGATTTATAAATAATTAATTAATGATGGAATGCTAAATTAACTGCGCTGTTTTGCAGCACAGGTCACGTGAAAGCGTTCTTTTTAATTTTCTGCTCTTTATTTTGTATTCGTCCACCTACGAGTTTTGACCTTTGACTTTTCTTTTCGCCTATCCGTTTGCCTTTTTAAAAATGCTAGGCGAAATATCTAAAAACAGAATCAGTTACGCTTTATACCATTTGCACCACCTTGGGAGTGTAAAAGCTTATTCGATCCTTCAACCATGAGTATACTGTCATTTGCTTGTATAAGTTTGTCTCCCCGTATTTAATAAATTATTATACGTGTTCCCCACTCCAAACCATCCCATAATTCAAAGGTTATACTGGACTTAGATTTATCTGTGTTCGAGCCGAGTTAAATTCCAATCAGCGATCCAAAGATATCTTTTACATTTACATACACTCAAAATCAATATCTTATATTTAATTAATTGACCATGGTTCTAGCATGTATTTTTTGTTATCGTGTTGCTGTCTTCCATAATAGAGCGCGTAATGAAAATGGGAATTCACTGAACTATGTAGGGATCGAGGAAGGCAAGAGAGGGGATGGAAGCCACGAAACATCATGCATTAAAGAGTTAGGAACACGTATGCATGTTAGTGTTTGATGATGGTTTGGAGTTGAGAATAATAATAAATGCCAATAATGACGGCATGACACGTCAGCTAAGTTGGGCTGTTATTTCCTTATCATCTGCCGCGTAAATTGCACCGGATAACCAGATATATCCGAGTCGGTGACCGTGACTCGTCTTCTTCCATGGTCCCCAACTCCTGTCCAAATTACCACCCCCCTCAACCAAAAAAAAAAAAAAAAAATCACAACAAAATCAATATCCAGGTTTTTATTTCTAGTTCCTTTTTTAGACACCAGGGAATGGTTGAATATTATACATTAAAAAATTATTATTCCATAATCTCTCATGGTTATTCTCAGTCTCATGCTTGCCTTGATCTCTATTCTTTTTTTTTTTTTTGGTTTGAGATTGTTTTTATCGTTAATTTTGATCTTGCGCCTTCCGTGCATCTCATTTTGAAATTGTATTTTCAAAAGTAAAGGCTATTTATTTAATAAAATTTAGGAATACCTCTTTCTTTCCTTACAAAATTTGAACTATGAAATGCGTTCGTGATGTCTTGATCTCACATAATTAAAGCAGTTGTTTGCCACATAATTTTTGGAGGCAGAGAAAGTTGAATTCTTTTCTGCCTCACTTCGCGACCACACAAGCTAAGCCCGATAAGCATCTCGTCTAAAAAGCAAAAGCAAGGCTTTGATTAAACTTTCCCAATAGTCATATGACGGCCAAATTGGAATCCTTGCCCCAAACCCCCTTATTAAATGCTTTTATTCACAATTACGTGGAAGCTAAAAAAAGCGGGGAAGGGTGTAAAAAGCTTTTTTTTTTTTTTCTTCAATTCTCACAATTCAAATATCTGTCGTTGCAACATTGTCTGGTAAAAAATAAAAAAAGAGCGGACGAACTCGCCCCCCTTGTATTTATTTTTCTTTGTTCGAGGTCATCGGATAACTTGCTATGATCCAGAGTTCACGCTTTTGGATTTGGAGTGTAGGTTTGGGAGTCTCCCACAGATGTCCTCTCTAGTTAAAAGAATTGACTGGAAAACTGCAATCAAAAACTACTTTTAGGTCGATTTGAGAAAACACGTATTAAAAGTGAGTAAAGTCCAGGGGATGATCATGATGCAGAGAACAAATTGCTGGATAAAGGTGCAGTTAAATCATGCTTAATCATACTTCATAGTTTATTATTGAAGATTCCGTCACATACAAGCACCATTTGGAGTTGGGGCCGGCATTTCGCTTTATCTTTTCTGAAAGATGTGGAATTGAATTTCTTTTTCAACTTTCTCTGTTCCTCAAGGCTGTAGGGTGGATGCTATGAACTAATGGTATTTGCTCCATCACGGCCTGGTTAAATCATGTATGATCATACTTGAAAGTGTATTGATGAGGATTACGTCAAATATAATCATCATGTGAGGTTGGCATTTTGCTTTAACCTTCCTTCTCGGAAAGACCTGAAATTGAGCGGACTTTTTATCTCTTTTCTCAGTTGGTTCAGCTGGCAGTTTGGCACCTGCTCCTTTTGCCAATGAATGGCCAAAGTCAAATTAAAGGAGCGGGGTCTTGAAATTGAAGTGCGTTGATGTGTGATGTAACTCTGGTGGCAGGATCGTGGCCACGTTCATCACATTCATAATCCTTCGTACATACCGTGACAGAGAGTGCACAAAAGCTTCTGATGTTGTTCTACTTCTACGCCGTAAAAGTTTCTCTCCCAGGAGATAGTACACTTTGTTATTGGTAATTAATAATTTGTTGCATCTAAATGCATGCGTATTGAGTAGGCATCTGGAAAAAGACAAACTATTGGAACAAGTGGGCGTATTTACTATTTAGCAGTTCCGAGGTACTATAACAGAGTCCGCGCGCAGGGTACACCAAAACGCATGTGGAGGTTTTGAAGTGCGCCAAGCTCACCGCCAAGCTGTGTCATAAATGTGAAAGCTTTGTCTTGTGCCTAATCAATACTTGCTTCCTTACTTCTCAAGAACCTATTTTAACTCTCTCTCCCTCCGTCTTTATGTTTCCTTGTTCGTGGGTGCGCGAGAGCGTGTGTGGCTGAACTAACGCACTGTAGAATAAGCAAGTGATAGAAGCAAGCTTGGTGCTTTGCAACTTGCAAAGCCGAAAGGAGCGTACTTTATATGCTATTTCGGTTACTCTGGTGATTCCGGACTGTGGGCCTGATTTAACTCCACAAAATGAGTTCTGAGGAAAAGGCTGTGAGTGAAGGACATCACGCTGCTTCGTGCTTAAGAACGGTTTCTCTTCCAGTTCCCAAGGTAACTTGTGGTTTTTCCTTTGCTACTTCTGTTCCTTTTTTCCCTCGTGTTTAGCTTCAGCCAGGGATTTGGTATTCTGGGGCTTGATTCTGCTTTATTTCAAGGAGTCTTCTCTGTGTCGGCTATGTATGTGTTTTTTTTTCCCAGCATATCAGCATTTTTATTTGGATTACGAACTTTTAGTTGGAAATCATCATTTCTGTTATTTGATGGCATCTGCAAGTGTTTGTTTGAACAAATTCTATCACGGCTTATGGTTTGAACTCTTAAACTAATTTGTATGACTGAAGAGCCTTCCCTTTTTGTGTGAGTGCATGTTTATTAATAACTCAACGGATTATGTCTGAGGATGTCGAATTTTTTCCTCTCTCTGATTTCCATCTACCGTGCCTGTGAGAGAGAGGGTCTATCTATCTATCTTTCTTTATCTTCTCCTAACTTTGAATTGTGCAGCTTGAAACTTTTTTCAAGTCGATTTTTGCGGCTCAAACCCTTTTTAAAGGACATTCTGTGTGTGTGTTGAAAATCAAGTAAGTTTCCCTCCAAGCCTTAACTTCTCGTATTTCATTTGTCCTCGCATCCTAGAAATCCAGAAAACTCGGTTAGAACCTTAATTGTTGGACAAACATTGATTAATTTATGCCTAAGCTGCTCGAAATTTCTTGTGTCGATTTCAAGATCGCGGCTTCCTATCATTAATCTTCAATGATGCTTTTAATTCACTGCAACGGGTGAGTCCCCGGATTAGAAGGTTATTGCTGAATTTGATCTCTGGTGGTTTGTAATGCACTCATTAATTATCTTTGCTGTTTAGCTTTAGCTTTTTATAGTAGGTGCTGAAAGAATATCAAGATTCAATTATTTTCTGTTTATCTTTACTGAATTGGCATACCTTGGAACTTTGCAGTCTTTATATCACCACATGGTGCTTTCAAATAACGGTGATTTTAAATCCCATTTTTCTTGTATATTTCTCATCTCAGCATTTCTTTTTCCTTTTTTTTAGAAGTGTTCAAAGAATCAATTTAGTTGTTCTTCAAATATTTAAGTGTTTTTTTCATTGATGATGATACGAGTGTGCTGGTCTGTAATATGAAATAACAGATCGCTAACAAAAAACTTTTCTTAATGCTGATGGTCTTGTCTTCGGACAAGATATGCAGTTCTTGTAGTTATAGGTTATTGTCACAAATTTTCATGATGACGTGCATAGCAGTTTTTTGTGTGAAAAGTGAGGTGGAAGAGTCTGCCTGTGAAAGCAGTAGTGAGATTGAATGACTACTTTGACAGCCAGGCCCTAGCAAGGATTACCTAAATATTTATCAAATTCGTTGTGTGTGCAGGTGGATGATGAACCAGTGGGAATGACTGGGGAATCAACACGTGCTCGTCATTGGAAGCGGCAAAATCTTCTCCTAGAAATACCCCCAAGAACATCAGAAGAGCATTCTCAAGAATTTGTTGCAATTAAGATGCCAATAACTCCAAGTCCCACTCCCACTCCCAAGAGAGTGAATTTTCTTGTGACTTCACTTTCTGTTGACGCCCCAACTTATAATTCTCCTGGGCCCTCTGCATCAAGAGGCAAAACATCCATTAAAAGTATCTTACCAAAGTTGAACTTCAAGCATAAGACATCATCAGATATTGAAAAGGCTTTTACTGCAGCTCCAGAAAGTTCCTCTCCAGCCCCTCGAGAAAAGCTTTCAATTGCTAGATCATTGTCCCTTACTAAGATATTTACACCTAAAATTAAGAGAACGTCATCATTACCAGTGGATGAACTTCATTCAAACCCAGAATCTGTTCATGCTGAAAGTGTTGGCAGATCTCTATATGTAAGATATCAACCAGTTTTATCCTTTAAAATTGATAACGACTTCTTTTATGCTTGATCAATTGGCATCTGGGCTTTTCATTAGCTAATGGGTAGAAAATGAAGATTGACTTTTTTGCTGGGTTTGTTTAACTCAAGGTGTTCTGTCATTAAAGTTTATAAGCACAAGAATTTTTGAAAATTTTAGCTTTTATAATGCCACGTAACGTGTATATTTGTATTTATGTATAGAACCATACACATTGGGAATCTTAATTTTTTGAACTTATGTTCACTGCTCAACTGTGTGCCTGATGCATCCTTAATCGCTTACCTAGCATCCCATGGGAAATTTCTACTGATGTTGATTTTTAGATGATGAATTTAGATCTGTTTTGCTTCAAGTTATCACCTTTTGCAGGGAACAGAGGCGCAGGGGCAGATAGCCCGTTCACAGTCGGTGCCTGTCACTGGTCTAGACAAGGGCATAAGGAGAATGGATTCATTTTTCCGTGTTATTCCCTCCACTCCGCATGTAAAGGGAAAAAAAGAATTGTTGGCCACATCCCCATCAAAGGATACTGGTAAGTCATCATAAGCTTTATCGCTTGCTTGTGAAAATGGATACAATTTGGTGTGTCATAGGTTTTTAATGAGATTCCTATAGTGACGTGCCAAGCCATAGTAGTAACAGTTAGGCACCTTCCTAAAGTGAGATCCAATTACATTCTCGTGGCACTTCAGTACTTCCTGTTTACATATCCACGTCATATGTCTCTGTTTTTTGGACACTTAAAACTAGCAAAAGTGCATCTTTATTTCCATATTTTCCCCTTATCTACCTTCTATTCATCTTAATTCTATTTCTAATTTTTGAAGTATTTTTTGTTCCATCATATATGCAATTGAATTTTTATCTTCAGAGTTTTCTCCCCTTTTTTTGGTTTAGAAACCAATGATCCTGTCAAGTGAATGGTGTCTTTTTTGGCACTCAAAACTCAAGTCTTGTCTTTTTGTTTAACCTTTTTCCTTGACTTTCTTTCGACGTTTCATAATGTGATATGTCCTTTTGATGCACTTAATGTCTCAAATTCTACGAGTTAGTAACAAGCCTTCAAAGCCTTTCTTGGTTCAGAGAACGACGACGACGACAACGGCGATGGCGATGATGATGATGAAGGTGAAGATATAGCTGAAGAAGATGCAGTGTGTAGGATTTGTTTGGTTGATCTGTGTGAAGGAGGTGAAACCTTCAAGATGGAATGCAGCTGCAAAGGTGAACTTGCTCTGGCACACCAAGAATGTGCCATTAAATGGTTTAGTATCAAGGGTAACAAGACCTGTGATGTGTGCAAGGAGGAGGTTCGGAACCTACCTGTCACACTTTTAAGGATCCAAAATGTTGTAACTCAGAACACGGGAGCTAACAGGTCTCAGCTGTCAGATGCAAGTGCATACAGGCATGTGAATAGTTATTTTTGTTTGATACAGATCAATTTAATGAATGAGAATTGACGATATACTTCAATTGGGAACTCAATTTTTTATCATGGACTCTTACATCCATTTTATCTTTCTATTTGCAGTAATAGGTATTACTCGCCATCTAGAATTTACGGTCAACTAGTATTCTGCCATGCCTTAATTTTAAATAATGAACACGTGGCCAAAAAAATTAATGAACACAAAATCAAGATTCTGACTTGTTTGTGAAGAAATTTCTCTCCGACCCCTTTTTGAAGATTTCATCCCTTCAATTTGTTGCTTCAAGAATAATTACAAAGTCAGTATACAATTCGTTAGCCAATTTACAGTTATTTGTGCTGTAGATAAAAAGATGGAGACCTAGAGTCATGCTTTAATATTCTTTATTCAATTTTTTTAGGGTTTGGCAGGAAGTTCCTGTTCTTGTCATTGTGAGCATGTTAGCCTATTTCTGTTTCCTTGAGCAGCTATTGGTAAGAATAACAATCCTCTTACTTCTTTCAAAGCCATAATTTTGTATAGACTCAGTAATTGGATTCAGCAGGTCGGAAAAATGGGTACCGGTGCAATTGCCATTTCTCTTCCATTCTCATGTGTACTGGGCCTGCTCTCCTCCATGACTTCATCGACCATGGGTAGGGTTCGCAACGATTCTTCAGAAATATTGTCAAAATACTTTCTCTTATTTATGATACATTGGTTCTTTTTTGCTCTGTCTATGATACTTATTGGGTTATGAAATTGTATTTACTGGCTTATGCACGCCCTAACCTTCTGAATTTTGTTTTTTCCAGTGCATGGCAGGTTCATCTGGTTTTATGCGTCTGCCCAATTTGCTCTGGTGGTTCTCTTCGCACATATATTTTACTCATTGGTAATGGATTTTGTGTCTAGCACATTGTTGTTACCTTACCTCTAATGTTTCACTCGAAACTGATATGGAAGAGAACACGTGAAACAAGGAAATGAATCATAATGTTAGCACATTATTGTCATGAATACGGAATGAGCATGTTTTACCTCGTTGGATCTGAACCTTGAGCACTTTATCAATATATTTGGTACGGGAGAGACTGTTCTCTCTTACTTGAGACAGTGAGAAAAGATTTCTCCAGAGATGCAAAGAAACTATTTATTATTTCAACCTCGAACCACGACCTAGTTAGGAGGGTGGCTGGCTGGATGCATGTCTTGCGCACTGAACTGCTCCTGCCTTTGTTTGCTGCAGGTTCACGTGCAGGCAGTTCTGGCAATCCTTCTTGCAACATTTGCCGGGTTTGGTGTAGTGATGAGCGGGAGCTCTGTTCTTGTTGAAATTACTCGATGGAGAAGGAGATGGCTGGCACCTCACGGTGCAATGCAAGCACATTCAGGCCCTCCCAGCGGCAGTCAAACAGTGGCACTAAATCAACAAAACTCGATTTAGAGCTGAATTTCCGTCTTTTTGGCTTCTTTGGTACGCATGCTGTATAGGAGAATTAAAATCTGGAGTGTCACTCACTGTACAGCTCATATTGTAATAATAGATAGATTGGCCTATATTATAGAATTTGTGGTTTTTAGTAGCATTTGCTAAGCCAGGGGGCTTGTGGCCCTCTGTTTCTGTAACGTCTGCTGAGAGATGAGGATTAAGGGAATCAACTTTTGAAGTGCTGTTGGGGATTATTGACAAGCACGGATCTTTTCATGCCTTCTATTTCTAGAATCTTGAGCGGAGTGTTCCTGTGGAACATTAATTTTGGGAATTGAAAGTTATGTTTTCTTTTCATTCATGTTTGAATAAAAGACTTGTTTTGTATTCACTCCGAGCCAAAATATAAACAGTTTTTTTAAAAAAATTTACATATTAATAAAAGTTTCATTTTCATCAAAAAATATATTTTTTTTTATCCATAGACTCAATTATCAATGTACTTTATGATGGGTAAAAGATACATTTACATAAATATTGAGGTTAATAAATATAAGGGATAAAATGAAGAAATTTTTTTACATATATTATGTTGTTTATATTTTAAATCAAGATTAATTAAAAAAATGCTTATATTTTGGACTAGATAGAGTATATTTTAGGAGGGTGGAGGATCTCTCCATTTCGCTCCACTTCTCCCATCTCAATCATTTATTAATTCTATAATTTAAAAAAATATTTAATAAAATAATATGAATGGTTGAGATGGAAAAAGTGAAGAAAAAATGAGATAAAAAAAGGAAGAGGTCCCTCTCCCATTTCAAGGAGGAGTTACAGCTTCTCACTCTAAAACCATCTCTTTAGCATTGAGTTGAGCGCCTCATTAACATAGAAGCTACAGCCAATAGAAGGTTCATTCAAATATTTGATAGTTGACATAATCAAAAACCCATTTATTATTATTATTATTATTATTTTTGCATAATCCATTGGGGAACATGCTAAAAGACCTTGCTTCAATAGTAAACCAGAAGGCTTCAGGGCATGTTTGTTACTATAAAATCTCCTAAGAACAAGGATGGAGAAATTTAAAAAGGTTCTTCATCAAAGGTTCCCTTAAAAGTCAAAACCGACCTAATGGGTGAATAGAGTCAATAGTGGTTGAGCAATGAGCGGGACATGCTAGCCTTAGGAATTGCCTGCAACCCGTCCATTTTGCATAAAATGGGTAGAGCTAGCCAGTACCCATACGTGGCCTATTGCAACCTGTTTGAAAACAAGTTAGGCGAGCCACATATTGAAATGGACAAGCTAGCCAGCTCATTTCGTGTAAATAGCCTCTTTTCCAAAAAAAAAAAAAAAAGCATTTTCAAGTGCAAATGCTTGGAGGCTAGTTAAAATTTGAATTTAAAAATATAGGCAAACTAAGAATGATGGCCCAATTTGCTAAACAGAAGATTAGTACAAAACCAAAAAAGAAAGAATTTCAAGAAGATAATAAAAACAAATAAAAGCATCAACATTTAAAATGTGTATAAAAGCACACAGTAATTCAGTAAAACAAGCTCATTGGTTTTCATTCTCTGGACCAATAAAGCCAATAATTCTACATGAACAGACTTTTCTAATAACCATGGATTATTAAACAATGAATCGCATGTAGATATAAAAATGAAACAAATCATTAATGTGAGATTTAAATACTCTAAACAATTTTCATTATATTTATTTTAGCTAGTGAATTTGGACTCCTAGCTCATATAAATCGAAAATCACTCTCTCAGCTCAAACTCTAATTTTAATCTTCATGAAAAATAGAAGGAAAGGGAGGAGAGAAGTATAATGCATTTACTTTGAGTGTTAGGAAACTCCAAAATGTCTCTAATAATCCCCAAGTTCGTGCTCAGCAGAGCAAATGGCATGCTCTCATTTTCTCCTTCTCTTCTCTTCTTATTTTTCGCACATATGAGCTGGTTTAAGCAAAATTCTAGCCATGCACAGCAGTGGACGTCCCTCACACCACGGCATGTGCACAAGGGACCTTACTTCAATTCTTTCTCACCCTTTGATGCTCGGATAGCCTGACTTTATTTCAGACCCACATTTAAGGCTGAAATCACAATCAAACGCACTTTTTAGACTTCTTTGACCACACACCATGTTAATTCACTTAATTACTCTCTTTTGTATAACTAAATCTTGATTAATTTTTCAAGATGTTACACCTTGAATGGAAGTGCTTTACCATTGTGGATTATTATTTAAATCATGGACATACACTAAGCTTTTGTGACTTTAAGTAGATTCTACAAAGTTTAAATCTTATCGCAGATGGATCTCTCTTGTAGTAGAGTCGAAGGTGTGCTGTTTGGATTAGGCTATTGAGCCCCCACCCCCATTGACTCTTCTCCTAAACCTTGTCCTTTTAGGCTCTAGGATGTTCTCTTTGTTGGTATTCGAACCTATATTTCTTTACTTTTGTTTAGTTTGTCATCTTTGTGTTTTTCTTTTTTGGTTTTGTTGTTCTTGTTACCCTTCGTTGGTATGCTATTTGGTGTGTTTTGATATTGATATATAGTGTCCTCTTTTGTAAAAAAAAAGGACCAGAGGGAGTATTTAGATAATTTTTCTTTAGGGCTTTCATAGATATAATCCATGTTATAAGACCAAATTAAGTAAATAATCCAACATTTATTATATTTTTTATTATAGTTAGTTTATTATATTTGTCAATGATATACATTGTATATCAATGATAAACCCTTGTAAATTTTTAATAATTAATCTCTTGTATATTAATGATAAACTCATTGTATATCAATATAACTCAATCACACTCCTAAGTTTTCAAAAATTTGGTTTATATTTTATAAACAAAAGATTTTTTTGGGCCAGTGGACCAATTTATTCTTTTCTTTTTTCTACATGTAAATAATGATTTTTTTGGAAAAAATTTAAAAATTGTAAAATGTATTTTTATCAAACATGTTGAGAATCTATATTTAAAAAGTACAGTTAAATCTCATCAATTGATGTTGATGGGAAGGGAAACCTTGTGCCCATGCCCACATCAATAAGGAGTCAGCTTCCCTCTACTAAGGGAAGCCTTCTTTGCCTCCCCATTAAGGCAAAGGAAAATCTGGACCCTTCAGGTTTAATCTGGACAATCCAATTTAAATATTTTAATTTTTAATTTTTACTTCAAATTTATATTTTTAAAATAAAAAATTATCATTGCTATATGTAACATCCTGATTTTATAATCCTATAGTTAGTTATTAATCAGGGTAAATTAGTTATTATCAAATGATTAAAAATTTGGATGATTACTTAAATAAAAAATTTGGAAGAACTACATTTCAGAACGGAGCATGTGCGTGCGGTGAGGAATTCTCTCACTGTGCGACATGCCGTGGCACAAGTGATGCATGGCATAGAAAATGACTTCTTAAGTTGTGAATCAGTGTGGAGTTCAGAAGGGAAAAGAAAGAAAAGCACGAAAGGAGTGAAGAAGGAGGCGTTCCTCTGTTTGGGCAAGAGTATTTGAGGCATCAGGAGGCATTTTCGACTAATAGATTATCGGGTAAGTCTCATACCGTCCTTCACTTTAATTCTACTACAATTTATTTTAGTATAAGCTATAGATAAATTGAATCGGAGAATTTTAAGGGATTAGTTTCTTACCTTTTAGTAACAAAAAAGTTCTCCAGAGTTAAATTAAGGCTTTACGACTGGTTTAGGATTAAACGATAAAGTTTTAAAGTTGTAAACTTAAATTTAGCCTTAAATCAGCGATAAAAGGGGTAGAGATTGAGTAAATGTAAAATGGGATTGCAAGAAGTGATAGAAAGTAGTGAATGAGTGGTAATAAACTTATATTAACTAAGTGAAAGTGAATTGACAACTAAAAATGGTTGAGAGTAATAGTTAAGTACTTTTAGTCAATTTGATTAATTGACTGATAGTACTAATTAGGTATAGATTATTGTGATACACGTGTGACTTGAAGTAGAGAGCTAGCATGGTGACTATAAGCATGTAAGAAATCCACGAGTAACCTTTCTTATGACAGAAGGGTTGAGGTAATCGAATAAATTTCTTTAGTTGATTATCTACTGTAATGTTTGAAAATATAAATATTATTGCATATATATTTGCTAAATGAATATTTAATGCATGAAATTGATTTCTAAATAATTGAGTTTGTGAATTGCATGCTTTGCGATATATATATATATATATATAGTTTTATATACATATGAGAATGTGGTTTAAGTGGAAACATGTTCATAAGGGTGGGAGTTCATATAGGGAGAAGTAGTGAAAGTCTATATAGAATATTCTCTTTAGTGCCCAACGGGGTGCGATGTTGGAAAATTTTCATCTTCTTAATGCCTATTGAGGTATGGTGTTGAAGATTTTCTCCTTAGTACTCATGTGGGGTGTGGTGTTGGAGATTAGGACTCCTTAATATCCTTCTGATATGGTATTGGAGTCAACGATACCCCATTGTGTGTGATGGAGGAAACCATAGTCCAAAAGTGAGATAAAACGCCTTTGGTCGAGTGATTCTACTATTAAAGATGAGCTTAAGGTCAATAAGTGTGTATATTGGTCTAAAGCGAGTCTATAGTTTTGAGTCGAGATGATTCAGAGGTTTGGATGGTAGTGATCATGTTCTTGGATATGGTGAATAATGATAAAATATGATGTTGATGAAATGAATCCTATATTATGGTTTATGTTTGTATATATATTATGTTGCACTAGCTTATGGTTGCATGTGATAATTAGTAGTAGAGAGTTATTCTGTTATTGAAATGTTTACCTCACCCCGTAGTTACATTTTGACATGTCATAGTAGTGAGCTAGTTAAAGGAAAAGATTCAGGATTGATATAGTTATGCCATTGCTGTACAATCCCCTAGTTTTGTATAATGAACACCTCTTTTACATATACTTGTATATAAAAGTTGCCATAGGGTGGCAAATGCGTATCTAGAGTGGTAAATTATGGTGATTTTGTGAATCTTGATCAATATATGTGAATATGTGGTGAAATGGGTAACATGGGCTAAGATTTGATTATGTACTTGTTGCAAATGTGGAAAGGTGTGAACTTGTTTGAATTTATGGTGAAATGGCTAAATTAGTGTCTTCGGTTTAAGATGTGAATAGTTGCCTAAAGTGTAAATAGACTGTTGAGCAGCCAAATTTTTATTTGTGTGTATATATGATATAACTTGTAATCAATCAGGTATATAAGATCCTTTTGAACTTGATTCAAGGCCTAAAATGACCTAATGAGATAAGGTGAGCTATTTGAGCGCTTGGGTGCATCGAATTCTTAAAAAAGTAGCTTTTTGTACCCCGAGTGTTCAAATTTTGATTTGACAGTTGGATTGTGTCCAAACTTATTTCATTGGCTAACTTATGAAATAGACTTTGTATAGGTGCTTGAATCATTCCGATCAAATGTTATATATAGAAATGGCACACGCCGAAAGTTTATCCTGTGAACTGTCATATGATAGCAAAAAATTTTGTCATGTGCGCCACAACGCATGGTGCAGAGAAGGGGAGCTTGTGGCTCTATACCACATGATATGGTGCATAGCCTAATTCTTGGCCCTGTTTCCTTGACTTTAAACTATGACTTGGGTGTGATGAATACATGTAATTACTTTTCACTATGCATTACTCTAGAATGTTAAAAGTTTTGATGTTTTGTAAAACAAAGTCTTAGGTCTCAAGCCCTTTTCAAACAAATTTAATTGATTTTTGTTTGATATTAAAAAATGGTGATCATGTTAACCCCTCCTAATGTCTGGTGGATATTGGGAGAGATTAGAATATACAATAGTATATCATTAATAAATATAATAAACTAGTCATAATACAAAATATAATAAATTGTATGTGTCTTGTTCTCTACTGCTGCTCTACTATTTATAATGTGCACAAGCTGTGTTGGCTGTTTGTAATTGCCAACCAATGTTCTCGAAATATCCACAAGTGAATATCACAATCTTGCTAGATTTAGGCTCATTTAGATCATAGTTTTGTTTAAGGCAATGGTCCAGCTAGTAATTTCGAGTCTTAAGAGATTCAAGAACCCACGCTTACTTAATCAAATCATTTTATCATGATGTGGACCAAATTTGTCATTATTGAATCCCTTGTTAGGTCTAATGCTTCACTTGCTCAGCCTAATTCTTACTATAGCCATTGTGACATTTTGAATAGACGTCGTTTTAGTTTTAACCTAAACATTATCAATACACTCTCTCTCTTCAAAAAAATAAAGCTTTTTTTTAAGAGTAAAAAACTAAAAAATATAAGGGATTTTGGATCTTTTAAGGTATAATTAATATTTTTTAAGAATATTTTTAATTAAGGTCATTTAAGAATGTAATTAATAAGATTTTTTTATTGAGACACCTTATTAAATAAGGATAAATATATAAGGAGTGTAGAATTTTAAAGATAATTAACTAATTTATCAGGATATAATTTGGTTAAAAATATTTTATAAAATATTATATGGAGGGAGTATGTATGTATCATTTGCTTTAAATCCCACACCAAATACTGGGTGAGGATCTTATTATGGCTTCAGATGTACTCTCTCTGTCTCAAATTATAAGACACTTTTAAATAAAATCTCACATGCCAATGAATCTCATTAAATACACTCAACAATCTTATTTTTTTTAAAATAAAAATATAAACTTTAAAAAATACCCATCATTTAATATATTAAAAAGAGAAGAAATGAAAATTAATTATAGGGAAGGAAAGGATAATATTATAATCGGTGCATTTAATAAAACCTTAATCCACTCAAAATATTTTATATTTTAAAATTAAAAAACTCTTTTAAAAGTGTTCTATAATTTGAAATGGAAGGAATAATGTTTAAATGATTTTGAAAGATCATGCTCTCCATTGATTCAGCCTGTTTTGCTCACTAAACAAATACATGAATATATTCATATAAAACGATCAAAAAGTTACAATGTCTATGAATTATAAATAATAATGCTATTCATCTTAATATGAATACATAGACTCATTATCTAATTTAAGTTTTACATATTAAGGCAGACATATTTCACCTTTCATTGTATATATTATATTATAGTTGTGAACTCATAAGTGACATGTATATACTTTTAACTTTTTAATTGCCATCTTAGTCATAATATTTGTCATAATTCAAATAATTTCTAGAATTCAATTCAACTAAACAATTAACGCTATCAGTATCGTGACAAAACATAAAAGTATTTCATATGATTTATAAACCATGTGCAGTCAAATTTACTGTTCCAATTTCACGTAATACATGAAAAAAAAAAAGTTTATTTGTTGTTCATGATTAACAATGTCCTTGAAAGTGAAACAAATATGAATCTATTCCATACCGTCTAAAATAAGTTGCATTATTTATGGTTCATAAATTGTAGGTATACAATTCAGTTTATCAAGTTAATTTTTAAAAAAATATATTTAAATATAAATCTTATTACGATTATTAGTCTTACTAAAATTCAGTTTGACAAATGAAATTTTACGAACGGACTTTAGTTGAAACATCAGAAAACTTCTAAAACGACATTAAACATTTAGACCTATTTATTGCTTATTTTCAGAAAGAAATTAATGACTATGGAGGGGCGTTGAATTCGAATTTATACATTTAGACTCTATGTCTGTGGATTTAATTAAACTTAATTAATGCGGAACATGCATTGTGCCTCGATCACCAGTAACACGAGACACGGGCCACACGTCCACATGCGCACTGTATTTGGGGAAGGATAATATTTGGCAAATTAAGGGATGCACAGGACATATTTTTGTCATCTTCCATCTTCCTGTTCGCTTCTGTGATATATATAGCACCATAGTTTTTACCAATGGAGTGCTGCCAATGTTTATAATCAGAGGCTTCTGAGTTTTCTTCAACCATCGGTTCTTCCCAACCACATCCTTCCCTTACAAAAGTCATTTGCTTCTGCAGGTACTGGCAAATTAAGTGAACGCACCAACCTAATAGAACTAACCGTAACTCTTCAAGACCACTCCTGAAGGAGTTTTGTTATTCCTTTGGTCCCTTTTATTATTATCTGTTTAATTTCAATTAGACGGAGCTGTGTGTTGCTGCTCCTGTTAACCGAAGTTTTCTCTCGCCCCCTAATATTTTTTTAGCATGTTATTTGCTGGCTTGTGGAGTTGAATTAGCTGTGCAGTTTTGACTTTCTATGTGACCAGAAATCTATGAACCGGGGTAGTAGTTGATTTTGAAATTCTACGCTCCAAATTAATTTAAAATTCATTTATTTGCATATTTTCAAACCTTACATAAATAAAAACTCCAGTTTTCTTCTGCAAGACCACCCGTTGGTTTTTATAATCATCGTTGACTGCGTTTTAAAAAAAAAAAAAAAAGCGACAAATGACTGATTTAATTGTAAGAATTATAAGTAGGAATTGCTGCTTGCCCGTCAGTTGATTTGAATTCTGCTGTGTGATTAAGGTGAGCTGTTGGGCCTGAAAAAATGGCTACTGGAGCCGTACCCGCTTCATTTTCTGCGCTCAAGAGCAGAGATTCCAGTTTGGGATTTGGGGGAAGTATGGATTTTGTGAGATTTTCGGTTTTGAAAAGAATAAAATCTGGAAGGACAAAGGTCTCGGTTATAAGGAACTCATCAGGTCCTGGCCGGGATATTGCTGAACTTCAACCTGCATCAGAAGGAAGCCCTCTTTTAGGTATGATTTCCATTTTGCTTTTCTCTTGTCCTCACTGAAGGTAATTCCTGAATGCTTCTATTGCCTTACCTTTGCAACTGCTCTCAGATTGTCTTTACAAAACTCTCTCTCTTTTTTTTCTGAATTTTATCTTGTAATTTTCTGTTTTTCAAAGGCACATGCCTGAATTTTTGGCAAAAAAAAGAAGTCACGTGCCTGAATTATTTATCATTGAATCTTACCTGCACATAATTAAGTTTCTCAAAGTTTTTAACTTGTTCCTTGTGTGTTTTTGACTAACTGGAGGCTAGAGTTTGTTGGACAATTGATTGTGAATTCTTTAAAAGATGGAATATTATAATAATAAAGGATGGCCTCCAAAACCTTTCATATCGTGTCCCAGGATAGAGGATGGAATGGCTTGCACTTTTATACTCTCATGTATTCTGTATGTGGGTTTATATCATAAAGAAAATATTGGAAAAATATTTTGTAGTTCCTTCCATTCCATTAACAGCTCTCTACCCTTTTTCATTCCGAACAATGAAAGGGCACTTAACTTGCCATTCTACTTCATTCCATTATTTTCCATTCCATTCCATCCTCTCTCATGAACTCCCATGAATGACCTAAAGAAATATACTGAAATGATGATGAAGCCTTTGCAGGGTTGATGTCTTCAGATAAAAGTGGCGGTTGCAAACTGATTTTATGATTTCCTGTAAAGCTTAACTTCACTCAACTTTAAATTAATCACTTCACTGTTTTTAATAATATGGTGGTTTTTTTAATTAGAGTGCTGTTACTTAAACTCAAACCAAGTGAGCCTCACTTGAACTTTGTCTGAATGGTTCATATTATCGTACAACTTTTACGTCTTGCCTGACAATTATTGCTTGGTTTATTTTCTCCTGATGCATGGATTATTGTAGTTCCTAGGCAAAAGTACTGTGAATCATTATACAAGACTGTCAGGAGGAAAACAAGGACGGTGATGGTTGGTAACGTGGCTATTGGTAGTGAGCATCCGATAAGAATTCAGACAATGACAACCAATGACACTAAGGATGTTGCCGGAACAGTTGAAGAGGTTGTTCAGCTGCTTTTAGCACATACGTATATTTAATTTAAGTTGCTTGCTCTCTCTCCCTTCTACCCCTCCCCCTATCTCTTCATTTTAAATGAGTCTGACAGAAGTAGTTATTTAATGTACTCATATGCAATCAATTGCTAGGTTATGAGAATTGCAGACAAAGGAGCTGAGATCGTGAGGATAACAGTTCAAGGGAAGAAAGAAGCAGATGCATGCTTTGAGATTAAGAACTCCCTTGTGCAGAAAAAGTAAGTATGAATTTATTGAGTTATATTGAACTTCTTGCCACAATTAGTCCATATTATGCATCTATTAACTGTGTCCTTTTTCATCTACGTCCAGTTACAACATACCCTTGGTGGCTGATATTCATTTTGCCCCATCTGTCGCTTTGCGAGTTGCTGACTGCTTTGACAAGATTCGTGTCAACCCTGGAAATTTTGGTTTGCATCTCTTCCTCTATACACAGTCCTTTTCTTTCTTCTCAATTTTTCTGAGAATATAGAGTCGCCACATATTATAATTCCAAGGTGGTGATCTCCTGCAGCTGATAGACGAGCTCAATTTGAGAAACTAGAGTACACAGACGAAGACTATCAGAAAGAACTTGAGCATATTGAACAGGTGAACCCATCCATATGTTCTTTCCCTATATGATACTCTTCTGGATTTGTACTCTTCTTTTAACTTTATATGTGCAATGATTGATGTATTGTAAGTGTTAATTGTCAGGTTTTCACTCCATTGGTTGAGAAATGTAAGAAATATGGTAGAGCAATGCGCATTGGGACAAACCATGGCAGTCTTTCAGATCGTATAATGAGTTATTATGGAGATTCTCCTAGGGGAATGGTGAGCACTGAACAGTTCTTTATTTCCTAGCGCCACCCCCAAAAAAAAAAAAAAAACACACACACACACACACACACACAAAGGAGAAAAGAAAAGAAGAAGAAGAGTATAATTGTCCATCTTAGTAGGCATACATTGGACAGGTTGAATCTGCTTTTGAATTTGCAAGGATATGCCGAAAGTTGGACTTCCACAATTTTGTCTTTTCTATGAAAGCAAGCAACCCAGTTGTGATGGTCCAGGCTTACCGTTTACTTGTAGCTGAGATGTATGTTCAAGGTTGGGATTATCCATTACACTTGGGAGTGACTGAAGCTGGAGAAGGTGAAGATGGGCGTATGAAGTCTGCAATTGGTATTGGAACACTTCTTCAGGTATTCATATAAGAAGCTGCACCTTAAATGGGTATTTATTTGGATGAAGCTATGTCTTCACAGCCTTGTAATAATGGTAACTGCAGGATGGTTTGGGTGATACGATTAGGGTTTCTCTCACAGAACCACCTGAAGAGGAGATAGATCCCTGCAGAAGGCTGGCCAACCTTGGTATGAGAGCTGCTGAGCTCCAGCAAGGGGTGGTATGTCTCCAAATAATGACTCTGATATAAACATGCCTAAGTTTTCTAACTCTAAATTTTGACATATCAGAAAAGCTGATGAACTTTAATGGCACTACTCCATCAGGCACCTTTTGAAGAAAAGCACAGACATTATTTTGACTTCCAGCGCCGTTCTGGTCAATTGCCAGTGCAAAAAGAGGTCAGATAATAAACTGTGTGGAGTTTATGTTGTTCATATGCACTGCCCATACATTAAAAATTTAAAACAGATAACTAACTGTCGATATTAACACAGGGCGAAGAGGTGGATTACAGAGGTGTCCTGCACCGGGATGGTTCTGTTCTCATGTCAGTCTCCTTAGATCAATTAAAGGTAACATTTGAATCGTACTTCCTTTGTCCTCTCTCTTTTTTTTTTTTTATTTCTTTCTTTTTTCTATTTTAGTCTGCTGGATGTTTCTTTTCTTTCCTTCTTCTTCTTCTTCTTCTTCTTCTTTTTTTTTTTGCTATTCTCGTTCTATATTTTGTTGGTCGGTTAGGGGAGCAGGCATGCCATGTGTCATTCTGAAAACTATTGTTTTTCATCCTTTTTTGATTCCTTCTACTGATTCCTGCAGTTGCCTGAGCTCCTCTACAAGTCCCTTGCGGCCAAACTCATTGTCGGTATGCCATTTAAGGTATTTTTCTCTCATTTATTGATGAATAATTTGTGTCAACTCTTCTCAATTCATTGAAGAAGTTGCTAACACGGTTCTATGTCTTTAGGATCTGGCTACAGTAGATTCAATCTTATTGCGGGAACTTCCTCCAGTTGATGATGCTGATGCTGTAAGGACCTTCATCTTGGCAAATATGCAACATTTACTCTAAATGGAAACAGTTTCTTGTTCTGATTTGTTTTGATATTCCTTTCTGTGATCAGCGGCTAGCTCTGAAACGGCTGATAGATATAAGCATGGGGGTAATAACTCCTTTGTCAGAGCAGTTAACAAAGCCATTACCCAATGCCATGGTTTTGGTAAACCTTAAGGAACTATCTACCGGTGCTTACAAGCTCTTGCCAGCAGGTGCCACTTGGCTTGAGATTCTTGTTTAGGTTAATACGAATTACATGGACCACCTTTTTTGTTGAAATTTTAATGTGAAATAACATCAAATTGGGGTCGATGTCATTTGTTCAATATGAAGTCTCGCTCTAGTACATATTTTTCCTGCCCACTTGAAAGTAGCCTAATATCATGTCAATTGATGTCCTGTCAGGCACAAGATTGGTTGTATCAGTGCGTGGTGATGAGCCTCATGAGGAACTGGAAATCCTCAAAAGTGTTGATGCTACTATGCTTCTTCATGACCTACCTTATACTGAAGAAAGAGTTAGTAGGGTGCATGCAGCAAGGAGGTGAGAATGTTTCAATGTAGCAGCTTTTTATGATTTTTTTTTTTTTGGTTAACGGCTTTTTATGATTTTATTTGGCCTCTTGATGCTTATTCTACTAAACTTCAACTTCACTGCATATAGAAATCGTTTAATCCTATATTATGTATTGCCATCAGGTTATTTGAGTACCTGGCAGACAATTCTTTGAATTTCCCAGTCATTCATCACATTCAGTTCCCAAATGGAATTCACAGGTATTTTTAATTTACTGTGCTAGTTGGTGAATAAATCCACACAAAAAAACTGTAGCCATGACGAAACTTAATTTGCTGCTACTCACAGTGATGACTTGGTGATTGGTGCTGGTGCCAATGCTGGAGCACTTCTGGTTGATGGGCTTGGAGACGGTGTTCTTTTTGAGGCCCCGGACAAAGATTTTGATTTTCTGAGGAGTACGTCTTTCAACTTGCTCCAAGGATGCCGAATGAGGAATACAAAAACAGTAAGTTAGTTTGCCCGTGGCCACACAGAAGACCTATACTGGACTTCAAACAGTCTTGATCCTTATTTATATGCCTAATTATGCTGCAGGAGTACGTATCATGCCCATCCTGTGGTAGAACTTTATTCGACCTTCAAGAAGTAAGTGCACAAATACGAGAGAAGACATCGCACTTGCCTGGCGTATCGGTAATCTCTTAGTACCCTGTTCTTGCTAAAATACTTCTTTTTGGATAGTTTATATTATAGCCTGTAATGCGCCATAATTACTCTGTACAACATAGCATAAACAGAATTCAAAGTACTCTTCGTTTCTGCAATAATGATTGTCTGCTGTATCAGATTGCTATCATGGGCTGCATCGTAAATGGACCGGGGGAGATGGCTGATGCAGACTTCGGGTACGTAGGAGGTGCTCCAGGAAGGATCGACCTTTATGTTGGGAAGGTAATTTGCACTGTTGAATGTTCCAACCTGTCTTCTCTGTTTTTTCCCCGCGCGAAATGAAAACTTACGATGAGTTGAATGGCATCACAGACCGTAGTGAAGCGTGGAATAGAGATGGAGCATGCAACCGATGCATTGATCGATCTGATAAAAGAACATGGTCGTTGGGTAGACCCTCCTGCAGAGGAGTAAAGTCACTAGAGCTGTTGTGCCCGAGAACATCAGAGTTCAGGGGAAATGGGATCCTGCTGCTGAAAGCTGAACACCCTGCATTCAGCAATTAAGCATGGCAAAACTTCGTTTATATACGGACCGCAGTGTCTTATTCCTAGAAAATGAATAAATAATGATAGCATTCTCTTGAATAATGTGAATTAGAATTACGCTTCTTTACTAGTATAGCAGTAGCCTAAGATGTGTGCCCTCAAAGTGTAATTTAGAGGTGAAAAGTTGGCGTAATTTGCAGCGTGTTACCTAAGTGGGTCCATTTTAATTGTGATTTTAGGTAATTTTAACTCTACAAAATTAGTTTATTTCAAAATTTTGTTAAGTAAACAAGACCGAATTTAAAAAATTAAAGATTTTAACTGAAAACAAAATATATTTTGTATCCAATAGTACTAGGTACGATGTCCGAGATAAATTATAAATTATCCTATATACCCAGATGAAATGCAAACAAAACTGAACGAGCGCAGAATCACGAAGCTTCGGAGGCAATCTTTATTAAGCATCACCAGAATTCTAGACAAAAGCAAAAGTTCAGGGTTAAAAACACAAGTGCCGATTATTTGCCTCTTATGTCAATCACGCCGACTTAGAGCTCTCTGTCTTCCCGATTATTGCGCTCAAGGATACAGCTGAACTCGTATTTGTCTCTCTTCCAAGGTCATTCTACCACCATCTGCCTGAATCTAACCACCATAAATAGATTGTCGTTCAAAGCCTCATAATTCATCTTTCACATTGCTGCTGCTACTCTGACTCTCCTTGGCGTCTGGACTCTCAGGTTTTGGAGTTGAGGCTGGTTTCTGGAGCTTGAATGGGATTGATGCATGTTTTCTGAGGAATTTATACAAGGCCACCACGGTACGATCTGCATCAACAGTAACCTGCATCCAATGAAGCAGATTCATATTAATGTATCTAATAATCAAGCATAAAAAGATCCGACTAGCTGAAAAAGGAAAATTGATACTAGTGTCTGATTTTTCACTAACAGGATCAGAAGTCTTGTTCCCTGCTGGGAAGAACAGAAGGGTAGGGAATCCATCAGCCTGCAAAATGAACACAAAATTGCTGATCAATATGCTCTGAACTCTTACCTTTATTTTTGTTCAACTGAAAATCTTATCATGGTTAAGAGGCATATCATGAACAAATGAAAAACAAGAGACTGTAGCTGCTGTTAACTGAAAAGGCAACACTTGAGTTGAAACTCAAATCCATTTCAGTAAATAAAAATAGCACATATTTTATGCTAGCAACAACCGTGAGAACTAGGGACTACCTTTGCCCTTGGGTGCTCATTTGTTGTTCCATCCATCTTGGCTATTACTAAAGACTCAATGCCACGAAGATGTTTTGCCAATTTGTTGTATGTTGGTTCCAGTGCTTGGCAATGGCCACACCAAGGTGCATAAATCTAGCATTTGCAGAAGCACAAAATCGACATAAAGAATCTGTAGAGGTAAGTAAAATAACTATTACTTCGATAGCTGGTTGGAAACTTGGAATAGCACCTCAAGGAGGACATCCTTTGACTCATCCAAGACAATTTCATCAAAATTATCCCCAACAACTATTTTTACATCACCATCATTCTGCCATCAAGTTAAGAAAAATATGTTAGATAAAGAGCTTACTAGCACATGCTTGATAGCTGGAAAGCAACATAACTTACACTGTCAGGAACAGGATCGGACTTATAAAAAGGTTTTAGCTTGTCTTCAAGGAAATCTTCCCCAAATGCCTGAGATATGATAAAGGCAAGATCTTTAGATACAATTATGCTTCCGCAGTTCACCAAAAATATAAGAAAACACTCATGCACATTTCACATTATGCAGTGGAATGAACATAGAAAGGCTGTTGGCAGGCACGTGGTGGGGAGAGGAAGAGGGGGAAAAGTACCTTAATTTTGTCTCTAGTCACCTCTCCTTCAAGCACAAATTTCTTTCCATCATCATTTCCTGTGTATGCAAGTACCTTTGTAGGAAACAGAGACTAATGAAATGATTTACAGTCAAATAAAAGGCCACAATTTTTCATTACCATGACTTATCCGCTGGGATGAAATTCAAAAGAACCTAATAAAGAAAGAACAAGACATTACTTTGGGAGCATTTCCAGTGATACCGAAATAATCTGCAACAGGCTTTCCAACATCTTCATTATCCATCTCCACGTGAACAAAGATTAGCTGCAACAGATAATCCATAAGGGCAAGGTTATAGGGTGACATGCGAACAAGATACATCTTACATAAACAACTTAGCCCCTGTATTTCATTTCCCCCACATAGTCCTAACACGCACCATGAATGGGAGGATTCTGATCGTAATTCATTTGCTTAGTTTCTGAAAAAATTCTACACAATTTTGCTTCTAGAGTGTCATCACACAATGAAAAAAATATATAAATAAACAGCCTGTAGATGATATACCTTTCCCTTGAAAAACTTCGCCGCTTCTTGGAATATTGGGATGAACTTCTCTGAATCATTTAAAGTTGCAAACAGCAACAACTAAAACAAAATTTCAAACACATACCAAAGTCAAATGATCATAATGATTTTCAAAGAATGTCTCTCTCTTGATGGGCAGAGTAAAAAGATTTTTTTTAAAAAAAAAAGTTCATTACGTTCACCAATTACCTGTTTTTTTATCGAACTTTCAAAAATTGAGGGGGCATTTTCTCTTGTAAAAGTTGTGACCAAAGGAAGCTTGTTGGCCAATACAAAGTCTGATATTTTCGATTTTACAAATTCACCTTCTGCAGCTCGAAATTACGATATATCAGTTTTCCCTAACCAGAGAAAACTCCAGAAGTTAATGCAAAGGAGAAAAGAACTGGAAAGAACACAAACCAAAATGGTTCAACTTCTCCTCCTCTTTCTTGAGAAGGACCAAAGCAGGGCGTTTAACATTTGGATCTACATGGAAAAGCTTTGCCACATCATGATTCACAGTTTGATAAAAATTTACATCGTCCTCAAGTCTTGAAGCAGCACCTAGCTCCTCACTCTCAGAACCCTTCATAACAAGGCAGTGCAAATGAGTCATGAGCCTCATGACTGTCAGAATATTCCCATAAATGGACTTCAGATATTTATATCTTTGCATCCAACAAATTTCAGGCCCTAATTTTTTTGGCTAACAAATTTTAGGCTGAGGTAGGGAGGCAATGGTCTGAATAATGGAACAGTTTAATCCAAGAGATCAACAATAGAAACTGATGATCGAGTTGGTAATGCAACCATATGTGTCTTAACTAATAAATATATACCGGGGATCAAAATGAAAAAGAAGCAAAATCACCTTATGTGATGATCGATGAGCATTTAATCATGGACTTAAAGAGTTCTTAAAATAGCCATTAGACAATTAAGTTACAATACATATAAATAAAGGGATCCCATAACTTGTCCTGATAGCATAAAGAATTTTGACGTTGGCAAATTGTCAATGTCCAACAAAATAAAACAAAAACAAAGAGGGGGAAACCGAGAAGAATCCCGTCTGCACAAGAAATATGAATACTTACAGCTAAAGAGTTGAGGAAGCCCAAAACAAATTTGCTTTCAGATTTCAATATGCGCTCAGCATCATCCAGTGTTGTTATGTTGAATATACCAGGTCCTATCTTCTTCCTAATCCAGGTCACTATAGCATCTCTGTATTGTAATGCAATAAAGAAGTCAGAACCGCAAAAAGTACAAGATGTTTATGACCCGCTCATGACTAGACCATAATTGATGAGAAGGAATGACAATTAAAAACTTATCTAGAAATTATGTATTTTGTTCCCAATAAATCAACAATGCTCACTCCCTCCATTCCTTTGAATCTCACTCCCGCTAATCACACCCTACCGCTTCCTCATTAATTCAAATTGGTGAGCTCAAGATTTTCTTTTCTTTTCTTTTCTTTTTTAATGTTTGGTTCTAAAGTCTATTTTCATTCTAGTGTTTGAAGAATGTGGAAAGGAGTTGGGTCTGGTACCTCGACATGCAGATAATGACAGTAAATAATCATCACTAGCGACACAACAGACTTTGAAAGAAACCAAGTGAAGAAAAACAGAGAATTAGATCCAATGGAACAGACTTACTTGGTTCTCTGCCCAGTATAAGGCTTGTGAACCCCATCGACGAAAAAGTAGACAGTGGGGAATCCTTGAATATCGTACTCATGTGCCAATTCATTCTCCTCCGTTGCATCCACCTTCGCCAAAACCACATTCTCAGACTTCAACTCGGTTGCCGCGGCGGCGTATTCTGGCGCCAAAGCCTGGCAGTGACCACACCAGGGAGCGTAGAATTCCACCATTACAAACCGATTATTCTCCACAACGCCACTAAAATTTCTCTCCTTCAAAACGATGACGTCCTTATCATCCACCTCTGGTTGTTTGTAAGCCCCTCGATTGGCCCCCGACTCATCGTAGCTAGAGAAGTCACCAAAATCATCGTCGTATGAATCGTCGTCGTCTTCGTCGGAATGGGCCGGATCTGGGTAGTGGTAATGTGAAGAGGGGCTGTCATCAGCTTCTTCGAGAAAGCTGAGATCTTCGTCGTCGTCATTTTCGACGGTCTTGCATGAAGACAGAGCGGACAATGAGAAGAGGAGAAGAGTAGTGAGCGAAACAAGAACGACTTGCCGTCCACTAGGCATGTTTGAAGGGTTGAAGATCGCCGGAGAAGCAGAGGAGGGAGGGAGATCTGTCGGTGACTGAGAGGGGAGAGAGTTTGACTAGGGAACTAGACGTAGGAACAGATCAACACGTCTAATCTTACAGTTGGCTCAAAGTTATTGGTCTCTGTCTAATTGCAATTCTAATTAAAATTTGTATGGAAAGAATGAGAAAGAGGTCCGAAAAAATTAATCAATTTAAATTAAATTTTAAGTATTAAATTTTAAAAATTTATAATTTAAATTTTTAATTTTATAATTATATTATGATGTATTTAGTTTATAATTTATTTTTTAAATTTTAATATAATTAAAGAATAAAAAATTATTTTTTATTAAAATTTAAAATATAAACTATAAATTTATAACAACGAAATTATAAAATTAAAAAATTGAGTTATGAATTTTTAAAATTTAATATTTAAAATTTAAAACTTAACTTAAATTAATTGATACTTTTAAAACATCTTTATCATTCTTCCATTTGTATTTTGTAATTAGATTAGGAAAATATATGTATTAATTGATTATATAATACAATAATAATACAATATGAATGTTCAGT